ACTTCCAATCGGGGGCAAGAAATTGATAAACAGATTTCGGATTTCAAAACATAAACATACTTTCGCTTTGTAGATACAAATTACATATTAGTAAATATATATCGGAAATTCTATTTGACATAATCTTTCTAATCTATCATAATCTAATAATGACGTTTCTGCCCCCCCCCTCTGCCGCAGAGCAGCGTGAAATTGATAAACAGATTTCGGATTTCAAAACGTACTTTCGCCTTGTAGTAAATATATATCGGAAATTCTATTTGACATAATCGAAAGTTCAAGCTTACTTTTATAAAATTGCTCTAACAGTCTGCAAAAAATAATAAGCCGGATCCAATTCGAAGATTAAGGAACAACGCAATCTGCAACATTAACTGAATTAGATAACTTTAGCTTAGCGTATAACTCCGTTACACATTAAACGCGCATGCGCACAAACATATTCGCAGCCGTAAGGGTCTTAGGCGCTCTCGTAAACGCCTGTGAGCATGCGTGAACACGACGCATGCGCAGAAAGTTTGTAGCTTTGAGGTCCGGATTATAGATCATTCCGGATTATGTGTTTCCGAATTAACGACTTTTGACTGTATCATCATCTTTTATTACTATTTCTCCACATTTCTTTACAAATTCAATTAATTGGAAAATTTGCACCTTTTGTTTGCAATATTGAAAACCTTCAAATTCACGACCATCATCAGAAAGCTTAGCAATCATCCGCTCTACACTATTAGGATGTAGCCACCCAGATGGCATAATGGTTAGGGGAGCCTGACAGCGATACTGAAGGGCCTGGGTTCGAATAACAGAGAAGGCATAGCTGTAAAATTGTCTGTCCCTCCATAGTAAGTAGCAGTGGCCACTTATTAGGTGTCTCCACAATAAAACGGCCAATGCCATTATAGGCAAGTGTCCACCATTTGGAAAAAAAAAAAACTATTAGGATGTATTATTAGATTGGCAACTAAAGACATGTCATGCAGCTAAAATTTTTCTTACTCCTAATGCCCACTGAGAAAGTCAAACCTGAATTATGTTAATTTTGTTGCCTATTATATTGCATCCGTTTCTCACAAATGAATCTGATGAAATGCACTCACTTATGTACTTAATGTAATTCCTTTCCCTTATGTGTCTGCCATGCTTTTTCACAGATTATTTTTAGAAATTTTTCTTTGTCAACATACTTAACACTTCCAAACGCAACTGGCTGAAGTTTATAATCCTCGACAAGTGTGATGTCAGCATAAAAGGTTACCATGCTGTTTGGTATTCAATTACTAATATTTAAAACAAACATTATTTTAGATACCGCTGTGTAAGTCATTCCTCAAGGCACTGAGAGTTAATAGTCACGTAATGATACAAGCAAAAAAAAAAAAAAAAATGCATGCTGATAATACAGGGTTAGTTAGAATCTAGACGCAGACGGGCCAGCCTAGTGAACATAAATTTACTTTACAGCCAAAAATGGACATCATGCATGAAAATACTAGAACATGAAAAGAAAAAAGGAGAGAAAGAAAACTAACAAAAAAAATGGATGTTATGAAATAAAACATAGTAGAAGGAAAAACATACAACCACAAGCACTCACACATCACAACACCAAAAAAGAAAGTCTCTCCTAATTTTGAATTCTAATCTTAGTCTTAATATTGTTTACAATTTTCATAATATGCTGCACAATTTTTATATATCTCTTGAAGTAATAATCAAGTTCACCGGTGATTTTAAAATCTTCTCCGAGACCAGCACCTAATTCACATGATTCTAGGAAATGCATATTATCACCTATTACATTATAAATTTTACAGTATGGATTGTCTTGGCACCAAATTTTGATACCTATCGCAGGAAGTGGCCATGACCCATAACAAGTTGATTAAAGTTGATATTGTTCATGATTTTCATTTTCTTCTTTTCACTTTTAAAAAGTGAGAGATCTTTATTTGTACTGGACAATATGTATTCTAAGATTCCCAAGTATATTTTTAAATAGAACAGAAACGGGTTTTTGTTTCAACCCAGAACATGGATCTCATTATCACACACACTATGCATGTCTCCTTGGCTAAGGCCCTTTTGTTGCCCTGGAAACCTCTATGCGCTTTGCCCCGTGAAGAAACAATATCAATGTATTCTTTTAATTTTACATAGAAATTCTTAATATCACTGAAAGCTTGATTATCTTAGAAAGACCACTGTGGAGATACACAATCAGAATGTATAAAAACTGTATGCCCATTTTTCAAGTTTCTGTCCATCCACCTCAATATATATCAATATTCATGCTAATTCCTCTGATATCTATCAATACTTCCATAAAAAAATAACTTGCATTTGCAATTTAATCCTTGTATTGTTTATCTCTGCAGTAGACAACAAAAAGAAATCTATGCTCTCTCCCAACTCGAAGGCCTCAGTGTAAATGTCAAATTCATGGATCTCTGGGAGAGACATAACAAAGGGAACTGAAATTCAAAGCATGGGAAGAATCAAGTGAGCATTAAATGTCTAGAAAGCAGTTCTTGTTACTAAGAATTTCCATATAATTTCATTTTCAGGTGACGAGATCACAAAATTTGTTAAAAAAATACTGAAAAGGTAATGATAGAGGCAGAAATTATTTGGCACAAGAGCTTTTGGATGAGTAAAGAGCTATATAATTTGCACATAAGGGTTTTTAGATGCACACCTCCGACCCTTCCTGTTATTATAGTTATATCATGAATACATAAATTTATGCAATTTTTCAATGAAATTTTATTTGTATCAAAGTATTTATGTATCACTTATAGCCTAGTTGCCCAATACTGTCTACAAACCCCTCTCCAATTAATTTTGCAATTAAATTTTCACAACATAACTGGAAAGCACTGGTCTGCGACATTGAAGATAGTGAACTTCTGTCTGTAAATTCTTTTATCACTAGTTATTATTAGTGCAACACAAAAGTTGCACTGTTTCATATACAAGGAGGTTATAATTAAAGTAATCCTACTCACACCCTTATATAGCCCATTCTGGTTGACATATTTTATTGAAACTTGTTGTGCTGTGTACGACAGTAATACTCTGATCGACCACATCATTAAAAACATATATATTCAACTAATATATACAAATTTTCATGCTGTAATAATAAGAGATATATTATATCTAATTATGTTGGTTTGGGCTCTACTCTTATATGCACCCCAAGATTACCAAATGTGGCGATATGTGTTCTGCACTGGTTTTTGGCACGATTCCGTGTTGTGGGGTGGTTGGGTGGATGATGCTGTTTGTATGGCAACCTTTTTGACATTGAAACTTAAGAGACGTGGTGCCAAGATTTCAGTCGCATATTTTAGATTGTGTGGAAAGTAAATTTAGTATAATGTTGGTGTTGGTAACGAGTATTTTGTTCACGGGTGTCTTTATGATGATCTAAGTGTATTTTTGGAATTTCTGTGGGACTTTTAAAACGAAGTCAGAAATGCGGAGCTGCTATGAGAACTTAGACGAAGAAGAGCATTTCTGATAATTCTTGTGTGGATTTGCAGTCAAATGCTTGTTGGTAAAGTATGTGGCTATCAGCGGAGTTTAAGATTTGGATTGTGGTTTTCATGTAGTAGATTGGCTTTGGAGGAAGTTTTTATCATTATTTTCAAAATTTTGAGTCACAAAAAGACGTGATATAACAAAATCGTGGAACTTTTGCTGACGTTGTGTGACTGGTGAAATTTTATTCACATATGTATTATGGTAAGTGCATTTTATTTTATTGTTTTTATTTTGTAGAATGTTATGTTCATTGTTTTTTTACTATGAATTTCTGTTGTTATTTGAATTGTTTGTAATTTATTTTAGTTTAATTTGTTGATTTCAGGGCAATGCCTAGATCGTGCAATTTGTAGATTTTTTTAAAATTTAAACAGAATGCTGTGTACATGGTATTCTTTGAAATTTATTGTTGTTATTTTAATTTGTTAAAGTGAGGTGTGCATAGTTCCTAAATTTTTTTGCTGCCTCGATTGTGCAATTCGTAGATGTTTTTTTAAGTTAAAACGTATCACTGTGTACATGGATTCCTTTCAAATATTTTTGGTTGGAAACTTTACATTTTCGCTATCTAAATTTTTTGTTTTTGTTTCGGATTTTTAGCTTAAATTGTGTGTTCAAAACGTGGTTTTTGCATGTGAGAAAACCCCATTTTGGGGATCATTTTAGGCTTAAAGTTCAAAACGTAGACAAAAAATTTAGATAGTAATATGGCACTGTAGAGTTTCTCGCCAAAAATGTTTGGCAAGAAATTTGGCAACCTGAGGGTGCAAAAAAGTAATTCCTTGGTTTGGTTTCAATTATTTGAATATGGCAAAGCACTCGAGGGCTATCTGCTTAAGGGGAGGGATGCCTTCATGGAGTACTTTCTATGAGAATCTGGCTCGTATGCATGTTACACATGGGAAAAACCATGAAAACACACGTGCGACCAGACAGTTCGTCGGTATTCAAACCCAGACCAAACTACCCGAGTTCAGCAACTTTACTAATTATCTGCTGGTGGGCACATCTAATTAAGTTAATCACAATGAATATTTATGTTATTGCAGTGCATGAGTATTCAGTTAAAGAGGAAATAAATCACAATGTAAAATTTGGGCAGAAAGATTAATGCAGACCAGAAATGATGTCAATGTATAATACCTTGCAAAATACTTTGCCCAAATATATGTTATTGAAGATCATGAATGGTATTAATCTGATGTCCACTGCACAACGAAAATTAAAAATTAATCAGCAAACAATGATTAGGATGTATGTTTTTAATATATAAATGTTAATTAACACTTAGCGCAGATGCTTATTTCATAAAAATTAGATAAAGTAAACAATATGGAAAAAGTCATGTTAAGAAGATCAATGAAATATGAGATGCGGAAGTAAAGTGTTTGAGTGTCAAACCTGCAGAAGATGTAACTTACTGATATTTAAAAATAACCGTATATACTCACTTCAGCTGATTCTTTTCTTCCCAACTCATACACCAAGCCACGTCACCGTAGTTTAAATACAATCCAAATATCGTGCTCCAAAATAATGTTACCAATGAACGGTAACCCATTGTAATTATGGAAAAAAGTGAATTTGCATTGGAAATTTGTAAACTACAAGAGAAATGAGTAGGAAGCACTAAGAATCGGTCACATTGCTGTTGCAGGAAAATCACAGCACGATAATTACAGCGTATCTGGCGTAAGGATCAACATATCGCAGGTGTTTCGTATATTACTCCTTCATCTCATCTCCAGTCACCCATCGCCATGGATTTCTACAGTACATCATCATCATCATCAACAAAACATACGATTCCAATTATAGTCTATTGTCACTGCCACAAAACTAGACAAAACATAATCAAAGATAAAAATTTACGTATTGCTATTTATAAAATTAAATTTAAATGAATTTTTTATTCCACACATTATCTTATAAACTACCTGTTATCACTGGAATTTAACTTGAATTTAAATTTTTTTTTTTTAATTATATGTTTTCGATTATAAATGTTTAAAGGCAAGATCTACTGATTAGTAACTTTAAATTGATTTCAACGTAAGGAAATAGATAAGCATTTCCTTTGGGAATAAAGCTGTGCCACGATAAGCTTATCAGCATGTACATGGATGGTAGGAAAACTGCAATGAGCTTATCAGCACTGATGATAGAATTTATGGAAGTTTATCACTATTGATGGTAGGAATTGCTGCAATAAGCTGCCTTAATTGGATGCAGTAATCGACTTAGAGATTACGACTTTTCAAACAACCATGAAATTCGGGTAGGGCCATCGAGAATTCAGAAAATTTTCCGAGGCGTCGGCATGATTAATCGGAAAATAAATTTACATTTTCAATACCTGCGTCATCAGCTCGCCATGAATTCATCTTGTTTTGAAAAATTCGCTACTCAACAGCGAAAAAACAGGAAATTTTCTTGTCCTCCCACCAACATATCGAGCAGTAAGGCTAAAAGGTGCATGTCATAAGTCAAGTAGAAATGGGATCGTGAAACCTTGTTTGATCAAGCTCTGTGTGGTTTCATCAAAGACACCCCTAGTTTCTAGAAGCCTTTTACATTTCTCAGGAAATGATTAGATTGGGTTCTATGTTCGAATAACGGCTGATGGGGGGTACAGAAATTAGCCTCTCCAGTTACATTGATTGGGAGATTGTTCTCCCATTGTTAGCACCGAAATTCAATATTTTATTTTTTTTTCAATCCAACGGAAGTAGAATAAAATCTGCAGCTTAGAAAATAAAGGAGAACAAAAAGACGCATTATTCCTTTATCTCTAATTAAAATTTCTTGGCAGAGGCGGGAAATTTCGTAAAAATATCTTGCGTGTTCAGAAGGTAGTCATTAAAGAGCCTTAGTTCGAATAGAAGAGGGCAATCTCATTAATGTCATAAAACAGTCACAAGATGAGACCTATGAGAAACTGTACCAAGTCCACAGCGAATATACGGATCGTTCGGAATATATTTGGTTTGGATCCCAGTAGCAAACAAAAACCGATGGACTTGCAAAAGCAAGGTAGCTCATTTTTACTGTATGCAAGCCGATAAAACACAAGTTTTGTTTGAGTTGATTAAGAGAATTTATTCGAAGAGAAATTATTTTATTTAGGGATACGTGGAGTCTGTGTCACATTATTTGTATTTAAACTGCCGAATAATTTAAAAATTTTAATCTTAAGAACATTCATTCGGAGAATATTTTGTTAATTTTACTACATTTGACTCTCATTTAGATGCTGTATTTTTGATTATTAGATTAAAAATTATCACTTCGATTGTAAATTACTGATGCAGATAGCTGTAAAAAGTAAATACAACTTTATGCAACTTTTATTGGAATATTCCCGTTATAATAGAAAAAGAGAGGGTTCGCAGTTTCCTCCACTATCGGGGAATGAAGCCCTACCTAACAAGGGGGATCCATATTTTTAATATCAAAACATTGCATTACGGCAGTGAAACATATATGTGTTTCTAAGTTTTTCCAGTAAAAATACTGTGTTAACCCTTTGACGCTCGGTGGTCGCGCCCTGAAACCACCATTTTCCGAATTTTGTTTCTCCTCTTTTTTCCGAAATTTTTGAATGAAAATGAATTGATTACTGATCTTTTACATCTAAATAATACAAAATGACTGTAGAATCATATATGTTTCAGGTATTAATACTTCAGATCGGATGCCTTTTAAAATTCGTTTTCAATGACACAAAATAACTTCCTTTTATTAATATAAACAACTATAAATTTCAAAAGTTAGTCATAGCACATCATGATTTCTATCATAAACAATAAAAAATTGCAGTAATTAAACTGCATATATAAAAAAAAACCTCTACTATATGTATGGTATTTGCTATGTGGTTTCAGGGCCGACCACTGCGCCACTAGAGCATTGTGTCACGATGCTTACAATCCTCTAGAGGCTCGGTGGTCGCGCCTTGAAACCACTGGCGTTTGCTTCTCAATGGCGTTCGCTTGCTTTTCAAATAGGAATGTTTATTTTTACCCGGATTTAGATAAAGGGCTTTGAAACCACAGAGTTATTTTATTACTAAACAATACATGCACCTGCCCAGTAAAAAGGTCTTTATTTTCCAAATACTTTTCTCTGACATCAACACACTTGCTCCCAGAGCTAGTATTGTGATTTTATAAATTATTTCCAGTGGTTTAAAATTAATGTAAATATATTTTGCTATAATTAAAAATAGAAATTGCGTAAAAGTTTTATTTAAATTAAAAATATTTTCTGAATATTTTGGGACGAAATACGAATAAAATAAGTATGAATGGAAAACGAATGATCCGTACAAAGCCAAAAAGACCAAGTACCCCCCCCCCCATTAACATAAAAACCACAAATTTCATGTGCCAAATGAAAAAAAAACTAAATAACGCTGGACATATACCAGTGAATTTTAAATCCAGGCAGTGTACATTTTGTAGCACAAGGAAGAAACTTCAAAGAACAAGATGTATGTGAGAAACGTGCAATGTGGGTCTATTCATGTACCAAAGAGACAAAACATGCTTTGAACAGTGTCACAAAAAAAGTTTGTTCTTTGAAATTAAAGAAAAAACCACTGAGTTCTTTTTTATCCTTATTGAGTTTTTTAATCCATTTATCCAAATGTCCTTATTATGTAGGTACTTATATTTTCACTGCTATAGAAAAATTACATAAATATTTATTTTTTAATTTTTTCTGACGATTTAATTTGTAAAATAATGTAAAAAAATTATATATAATGCAATTCTTACATGCACTTTTTTAAAATCCGTAAATTTCGTCATTTATTGGAAACGCGCGCGGAAAATGGTAAGTTTTTTTTTTCTTTTCCTACTACATCAGTAAGTTTCAAAGTCCTAGACGCGCGGTGGTTTCACAGTGCGACCACTACCCACAGAACAATAGGCAAGAGTAGATTTTTTAAAATTCATATATTATTTGTCTCTAGGATCATAATGTTCAATTTCTAGAGTTTTAGTTAAAAAAATTATAAAAATAATATTGCGCGCGTCAAAGGGTTAAATTTATAATGAAATGCCTCGCTATTATTAAATTTTAGTTTTATTACTATAAAACTAAAATTAGATGATATCCATAATTTACTATGTACCTGAAATTAATAGCAGATAATTATCTAAAAGAATAGTCACAGATTACATTTTTTTAATGAAAGTTTTAAATAGGTTCTTTTCAGAATCAATAACCTTATAACAACAAGAAAATAAATATTAATAAAATAAAACAGATTCATGTGAATTTAGCGATTTCATTTTATGCGTGTTTCATATTTATGAACCTCAAAGAAATTGCCTTGAATTAAGTGAATTACACAGAAATATATACCTATATAAATTTTTGGATACGTCTTTCCACATCAATTATATCAATATTTTACTTGCTTTTATTGCTATATTGCCCACAAATTTGTAAGTTTATGTAAACAATTTTTAATAACAGAACAGTTTTTATTTATCAAATGCACAAATTATATTCATAATAGTTCATAAAACTTAAAAAGGAATAATACTTAACACATAAAGAAAAGCATTACTTTATTTAACACCTTTACAGACATAAGAAGAACATTTTTGCATAATTGTGTAAATGAAGGAGATAAGGATTACTTCTTTTTTTTTGTGTGTGGTTTGAGGCAGAAGGAAATTTTCACATTTTACGTCATAATCGATTAGTTTTTGTAGTAACCTGCACTCCTTTTCTATTAGGAGCAGGTATTGATTATCCTTTAACAAAAGGACTTAAGCTTATTGAACAAGGTGAACTGGAAACATTGCATTATAGAAGAACAGAAAGGTAGTTTTTATGTTGATTACTCCATTAGCAGAGTAGAAGAAAAACCAGAATTTGAAAGTTTTATAAGAGAAGCATCCAAGGCTATGAAAAAAGCAAATCTATCAATTATCTATCAATTACAGAGAATTTTACAGAGAATTTCGGAACACACTTGTTTAAAACCTTCTGTTCAAAAATCCAACAGTAAAACAAATGAACAAGATGTCTCTGAGAAGAAAAATGCTTTCATTCTTCATTAAAGAGTGTTGAACTGGAAAATAGAAACTGGGGTTATAACCAATATTTGAAGTATATTCCCATGGCGCATATGTTGGGTTGCATATTACGATTCAATAAGAATAGTCAAATTCCAAAAGATCAACATACTCATGGTGATTAGTCTTGCTAGAAACATATAGCAGCTGAAAACTTATTACGGCTGATTCAAAAAGAAACATTCTCTGGTTTGGACGATTCTAGATTATCGAGTTTACACCATTTTGTTAACGAAGATGCTGTTTTACTCTAAAGGGCGAAGATTTCTCCTCGAGAAGAGAAAGGAATTTGGCATCCAGCAGTTTTACCTAACAACCATTTATTATTTTCAGACTTATTCTTGATACATATTTAAAATCATCTCATGCTGGTACTCAGTTAATGAGAACAATTCTTAGAGACCATTATTGGATTTTAGATTGTCAGATCTGTTCTTAATAAATGTTTACAGTGTAGACGGTATAAAATGAAAAATGTGGAGGCTTTGCCAATTACCTTGCCCGAAACTCGTCTACTCTTTTGAAATAACAGGTGAAATTTTCGCTGGTCTATAATATTTCAAAAGCCAACGGAAAAAGACCCAGAAAAAAACATGACTGTCTATTTACATGTGTAATATGCCGAACAGTGAATCTCGAGTTCATTTCCTCTCTGTCAACTGAACTTTTTCTATCAGAGTTCCGAAGATTTATTAGGATACAGAACGACTATCTACGATGTTAATAACAACGGAAGTTAATTTTGTAGGAGCAGCTAGTGTTTTAAATAACATTAACTGGAAGGAAAT